GGGGAAGATGGGAATGTCGTCAACACCAAGTCTTCGGCACAAGCCCAAATAGTCCCTCATCGGAATGTCTGAATCCCAAATGTCAAGTCTGGATCCAATGTCGTCAAGTCTCAAGTCACAACTCTGTCTCTCTCTGTCGTAGTCTGAGAAGTCAGGTGGCCAGAGGGTGAGAAGAGAAGGTGGACTTAGAAGAGGAAAAAGAAGAACTCTCTCTCTCTCTCTGTGTCTAGTACTAACCTGTGAAGTTGGCGCCTTGATGCAGGTACCACGAAGATGGAGCTGGAGCGATGGCGCCACAGGTAAGTAACACTGGCCTCCGCCAGTCCCTCTCCCACTCTACGATCTACTTCCTACCAACGCCCAACGCTAAAGACTACAGCTACAGCTATGGCGCCCAGCGCCGAAGACTACACCTAGCGCTACCACTACTGCCTAGCGCTGAAGACTACTGCAGCGCTCCTCCTGAGTGCTGCGGCCGAATCCTGAAGACTACTCGTGCCTACTGAACACTACCTACCCGTGAAGTGCATAGGAACCTCCTATGTACCACGGCTGTGCCTCTTGAGCCTGCAGAAGGGAGGCAGGGGCTGCAGCTGCAGCTCCTGCTCGAGCATGTGAGGAACAGGCTATTTTGGGCTTGTTCCGCATCCCTGTTTCCGTGCCTGAGTCTTAGGGGCAGGTCGAAACAATGAGGGCCTGAAAATGGCCCTCCGTTTCAGGCTGAAAACTCTGGGTCTGAAAAGACCCAGAAATAGGCTGAAACGAGGTAGGGCCTGCAGGCCCTCGTTTTTCAGCATCCAGGCTGAAACGAACAGGGCCTGTAAGCCCTAAGTTTTAGGCTTTTAGGCTGAATGTCCGGGACGGGCCCTGCAGGGCCCGTGTGGCTACGCAGTATGCCACAGTGAAGGAGCCTGGCGCTGTACACAAGAAGGAAGCGCCAGGTCCAGACATACACAGACGAAGAGGAGGGGGGGAGAGGGGAATGTCGTCAACACCAAGTCTTTGTCACAAGTCCCAAATAATCCCTCGTTGCAATGTCTGAAGCCAAAAAGTCGAGTCTGGATCCAATGTCACCAAGCTCTCTCTCTCTTCTCTCGTAGTCTGCTGATGCAGTGAAGTCAGATAATGGGAGGGTGAGGGGGAGATGGTGGATTGAGAAGAGGAAGAAGAAGAGCTCTCTCTCTCTCTCTGTTACGAGCCAGGTACTAACCTGTGAAGTTGGCGCTGTGCTGCAGGTACCTTGAAGACGAAGCTGGAGCAACGGCGCTGCAGGTAAGTACCTCTAGCCTCCGCCCGATCTCTCTCTCTCTAGTGCTATCCTAGCTATGGCGCCCAGCGCTGGAGACTACAGCTACCTACTGTGCCCAGCGCTGAAGACTAAGGCTAACGCTACTACTACTACTGCAACGCTCCCTCCAGAGTGCTGCTGCCGAATCGTGAAGACTACTGCCTCCTGCCTACCCGTGAAGTGCTTGGGAAGTCCCTATGTACTACCTCGGCCTGCCTCCTGACTGCCTGGAGGGCGAGCCAGGCCGAGGAGGCTGCTCTTGCCAATGCCGAAGTGTGCCAGGGGCTAGCGCTGCAGCATCTACTGAGGCTGTCGTGGGAACATGCTAAGAATAGCCTGTTCCCGAAACCCTGGTTCGGTGCCTGAGTTTCAGGGCCGGTCGTTCTGATGAACGACCGAAATGGCCCTTCGTTTCAAGCTAAAAAGGCTATTGCCATTTTTAGTCTGAAACGACACAGGGCCTGTAGGCCCCTGTTTTTCAAGCTTTCGGGCTGAACAGACACGGGGCCTGAAGGCCCTAGTTTTCAGGCTTTCAGCCTGAGGGACGCAAGGCCTGGAAAATGGCCCTCGTGTGCAGGCGCAGCATGTAACATCCCCCCCTCCTTATGAAGTCAAGTCGAGGCGAGGGCGAAGCCGACGATCTGAAGGTGGAACCTGGACGCGGGCGCGGAGTGGAGCCGAAGAGACCGGCTTGCCTTGCATCTTGCATTCGTAGCGTGCAAGAACGTCTGGAGCTGTTGCTTGAAGTTTCGAACGGGTCAACCAACGGTCAGCTCGGTGTGTGCAGTATGCAAAATGCACCAAATACTCGGTTGGCCTGTTGCCATAGCGTCGCTGGGAGATGATGTCGCCGACCTCCTGGAAACCGTCCATAGAGGGTGGGTCTTGCGAACGTCTCCTGGGAAAATCGTCATGTTCCGCTGGCGTGTAAAGAGCCAACTTCGAGTAATGAAAGACTGGGTAGACAGGCAAGTGGGCGAGCACCTGAATCGTGAAGGAGGTCCCTCGGGTGCATCCCCAGCGGGTGCCACGATCGGCCAAGGCCCCATCCATTTCGGGAGGAGCGTGCGAGAGATATCTTGTTCAAGACTGAATTCCGCAGCGGAGACCCAAATGAGATCGTCGGCACGGAATGGGCAAGGGAGACGCTGGCGATCGGCCTGTTGGCTCATGCATTGTTGCGTCTTGGCCATCTGGTCGCGTGCCTTGACAAGTAGCTCTTGCATCCGACGCAAGAAAAGAAGATGGTCGTCGCTCTCGGCCGTTTGTGGAGTGATAGTGTCCAACGGCGAAGTGACCGGTGAGCCGTGCTCGAACTCAAAGGGCGACATCCCGATAGCCGGGTGGATGGAGTTGTAGGCCAACTCGACATCCGGCAGCCGCTCAACCCAGTCCTTTTGGTCAGGACGGATGAGAGTGCGAAGGAGAACTTGTGCGGTCTGGTGCACCCTCTCCGTTTGGCCATCGGTCTGAGGGTGGCGAGCTGAACTGGGCTTGAAAGATGAGCCCCATCGCTTAATAGCGCCAACCAAAAATCGGACATGAACCGAGTGTCGCGGTCGCAGACGATTTCCTTGGGGTAACCCTTGGTTCGAATCCGACCGGCGTAGAGAACCTCGGCCAACTCCGGTGCCTTGGCATGATAGCGACAAGGCAAAAACATGGCGAACTTGGGAGTCGGTCGACCACCGTGAGAATCCCATCCACTCCGGTCTTGTGCTTGGGGAACGGGCCGGTAATGTCCATGGCAATCGCTTCCCTTCGCCTCAACGGGACCGCTAATGATCGTAACTCACCGTACGGACGATGGTTGCGGGATTTGCAGCGTCGACGAACCTCGCATGACTCGCAATAGCGTGTGACGTCGCCGAGAAGGCCGGGCCACCAAAATCACTCGCGAAGTCGGCCAATCGTGCGATTGACTCTAATGTGTCCGGTGGCGGGAACATCGTGGAACTCGACAAGAAGTCGTGTACGCAAGCGAGGATCACTCGGTACGCAAAGAAGGTCCTTCCCCCGCGTGTGGACAAGCAAGTACCCCTCTTGGATCCAGTAGTGAGAAGGCGCCGGATTAGGAGAGGAGCAATTCATACTTGTCGCGAAACTCTGGGTCGGCTTGGTAGCCGCGGATGAAGCTGTTCCACAGGTCATCGTCGATCTCGAAGGTTGAGTAGACCGCGGTATAATGATCAGGACGTCGTGAAAGAGCATCCGCAAAATGGTTCGACTTCCCCGGAATGTGGTCGGGAAAGAAGTCGAACTGGTCGATGAAAGCCATCCATCGAGCGATGGCGCTGTTGACAGTGTCTTGGGTCTTATAGAAGACCAATGGATTGTTGTCCGTTACCCATCGAAATTGGCTTTGACCAAGGAGGAAGTGCCGCCACCTCTTGAGCGCGTGGACGAAGGCGAGGAGCTCCTTCTTGCGTGCGTCGTCAATGGAATGCACGATGGGCACTTTCTTGCTGAAATACTCAACCGGGTGCCAGTCCACACCATCATGTTGCTCGAGGACGGCAACGGCACCAATGCCATAGCCAGACGCATCCGTAGTGACGCGCGTAGGCAAAAGCGGGTCGTATATGCGCAAGACCTCCGCTGATAATAGCGCGGCTTTGAGAGCCAAAAATGATTCCCGCGCCTCCTCTCCGAAGTCAAACGGTCGATCCTTGCATTGAAGCTTGGTCAAGTGGGCCGCGATCTTCGAGTAGCCTTTGATCAATCGCTGGTAGTAGCCGACAAGGCCAAGGAACGAACGGACATCCGTGACGTTCCGAGGCTCCGGCCACTCTTGGATGGCTTGAATCTTGTCCGATAGCAGACTGATGCCCTCCGGTGTGACAAAATGGCCCAAGTATTCCAGCTCTTGCCAGACAAATTCGCACTTGTCGCGGTTGGCCTTGTACTTGGCGCCGCGGAGCGTCTCCAACACTCGTCGAATATGCCCAAGATGATCCTCCAATGTCCGGTTATAGACGAGAATATCGTCTGAGTAGACCAGTACGAACCGGTCCAACATTGCACGAAACTCGTTGGTCATTGCCGCTTGAAAGGTCGTCGGGGCGTTGGTGAGGCCAAAAGGCATACCACCTACTCAAAATGCCTGTACTGCGTCTTGAACGCGGATTTGTAGCAATCATTCGGCCGGATCGAGATTTAATGATATCTCGATTTCAAATCGAACTTAGAAAAATACTTTGCGCCGCCCAATCGCTCAAGAAGATCGGCGATGCGAGGAAGAGGCCCCACATTCTTGACGGTTTGCGCGTTGAGCTTGCGGTAGTCGATACACAATCGTAGATCCTTGTTCTTCTTCCGGACGAAGAGAACTGGTGCTCCATATGGGGAGCTACTAAGGCGGATCCAGCCCTTGGCCAACAAATCGTCGAGTTGTGGGCGGAGGACCTCAAGCTCCTCCTCGCTCATCCAATAGATGCAACCTTTCGGCGGCACGGCACCGGCCTCAAGAACGATCTCGTGAGAGATCGGTCGATCCGGCACCACATCGATAGGTGACTCGAAGATGTCGGTGAACTCGTCCATCAACCGCACCACCCGGGGGTCCGAAGACAAGTCCGTGGGTGAAGAGTCGGCTACCGCGACGGTTCGTAGGAAACATAGGCCGATTTCCTCGGGCTGTTCATAAGCACAAGTCGCCCGGAATGATTTGGCTGTCACCACTTGGCACCGAATCGAAGGGTGCGGTAGAGGAATAGTACACGCCACTTCGGCGCCAAAGGTATCGCGAATGCTAAGACTCTACCGGTGGAAGTTGACCGTGTGATCCGCCCTTGCAAGCCAAGGCATTCCCAGAACGATGTCCAAGTCCGTGTCGAGAATATTGAACGTCACCGGTTCGCATGCATGAGGTGCGAAATAAACCGGTACGGCCTCGATGTAACGATCGAGAAATTGCTGCGTCTTTCCATCCGCCAACTTCATCGTCGTCGGGTTTGCCTTCCTCCGAACTTGTGCGCCAAGGCCAGCCCTTTGCATAAGGGATTGGCTCATGAAATTGTGAGACGCGCCGCCATCCAGCAAAGCGTTGCAGGACGCTTGCCCAACCTGGATGCGGACGTACATGAGCGGTGCGTTGTTGTCATCGTACCGCTGCGTGCAAAACTCGCAGGCCACCTTGGTGGTATACGCAAGGATGTCCCCCACCGCGACTTCGTCATCCGTCGACGAAGTTGGTGGTGCATAGAAGGATAAGTACGTGTGGAGATGAGCGCATAGCGGTGCGCATTGCGGTCCTGGCAAGCGGCCCGTGGTCGGGAGAAGAAGCCATGCAAAGTCCTCGGACGTGAGCGGGTCCAATACCTCTATGTTGAACTCGCGCGCTGAATCCCGTGAAGAACCACTTGAAGACGATAAGTTGCCGCTACTGGACGGGGAAGATGCCGCACACACGTCTTGTCCTTGAGCTTGAGTACCCAACGTCGGAACGAGTCGGGCAGCATAGGAGGACTATCGACTTTCGCATGCGCCTCGGAATGAAGGCCGGCCACTCGCGAAGAGACCGGTTCCGGAGGCGTCGAGAGTGTTGTCGAGTCACTCTCGGTGGTGCTCAGTTTCCCTGTTTGCCCTTGCCTTTCAATGGGCAGGCCAGTGTCTCATGGGGATCACTGTTGCACCATAAGCAATAGTGGAATCTCGTGCGCGCTTTGAAGTCTTGCTCGAGGGATGCCGTATTGGGACCATGGGGCTGGAGCTGCTGCGCCGGGCGCGGGGCTAGATGCGGTGTGTATCTTCGTCTTGCCGCGTCCTCGGCCTTTGCCGGGGCAGCCACCTTCTCGGGCGGCTGCGAGTCTGTCCCCTTCATTGGCAGAAACGGCCTCGCTAGATTGGTCAAACGACGTTGCCGCCGCGACCACGGCCACTCTTGGCCGATGCGGGTCTCTGCTCGGGCCTGACGCAGACGAACGCAGGTTCTTGACCTCCTTGTTCGTGATAATGATTTGCGCGGCCTTATCAAAGAGTTCCGCCGTTGTCGTCAAGGTGTCCTCGACGTGAGTCAGGGCATTGCTTAATGTCGGACAGGACCTTGAGATGAAATACTGGCGGATGGCTTTGAAGCCCATCTGGATGTCTGCGACTGATGTCAAGCGTTGGTACTCGACAATCTAGTCGGTACTCGGCAGCGTGCCTTGTTCGAAGACCATGAACGATCTAGTCGGTACTCGGCAGTGTGCCTTGTTCGAAGACCATGAGCTTGTCCATAGCCTTGATCTTCGGCGGCTCGACTTGGAACCGCTTGTGCCACACCGCCTTCAGATCATCCCAGCTGATCTTGGTGTGCAAGTCGGCAGCTACCACTCCGTACTTGGACAGGAGATTGTCCAACCATGCCTGGCACGCGCCCCCCGACCGGGAGTATAAGTATGTGTGGTGCTTTTGTTCCTTGACGTAGTGTAGTTGTAGCGTGAGCTCGAACTTGCAGAACCATGAAATTGGATCTGTCTTCGTCGAGTCGCAAAAGATTTCCTGCCCATCGAACTTTGGAGTTGTCTCGTGCGGTTCCGAACTCGAGTGGTTGGCGGCAGTGCAGATCCGTTGTTCCAACTGTTGCGTTGCGGTCTGCTGTAACTGCACGCCGTCCTTGAGGGAGCCGGCATCCATCTCCAATGCTTCGAGGCGATCGGAGGTGTTGGAAGAGCTTGCATCGGAGGCGGCGACAGGTCGCTGCTCCAGCTGTCGGAGGCGGCCTTAGACTTGCGCTAGCGAGTCGTCGAGGCTGTGGATATCCTCCTGCTGTGTAATGCATGTCACCAGGAGGTCTGTGAGATGAAAGAGGAGGAGAGCGATCTTGTTTTTGCTATCCTCCAGCTTGCCATTCTCGGCCTCGGTCCGCCATTACGCTGCTATTATGAGCAAAGCCTGCTCTCCGTTAAATATCTTCTCACGACGTTGAATTCTTTCTTCATTGACAGCCTTTGTTGCTGCCTCATCATGCTGGCGCTGTTGTTCAATTGCCAGCAGACGTGCCTGCTCGGCGTCCTCTACCTTCTTCTTCGCTGCTATCGCTGCGTCATCCGCCCATCTGTTTGTTTCGGTACTCCAGGCCAGCATCCGGGCGTGATAGGCCTCGTCTGCTTCTCCGAACCTCTGGTCCATGACGGCTGTTTGTGAACGCAACAGCATAGACCAGGCCGGGGGCCTGCTGACGTGGTATTCCCTGGTGCTGACGTGACACTGCTGTCAACTGACGTGGTATTCCCTGCTGCTGATGTGGCACTGTTGTCGGCTGACGTGTCCTGCCAACGTGGCCTGCTGACGTGGCCTGCTGACGTGGCTGGCCTGCTGACGAGGCCTGCTGACGTGGCCTGCTGACGTGGCCTGCTGACGTAGTCTGCTGACATGGCAACTTACCAATGCCGCCGCAGGGGGTACCCTGAGACAGGTAGAGAAGGTAGGGCGAGGGGTGGCAACGACATAGGTGGGGAGGGGTGGGTGGGATAATCGCCCAGATAACGCCCAGATAAGGAGCCACTAATCAAAAAAGAAAAGTTTGAACTTTGCAAAAACAATTTCGAGAAAAATAAAAATCCCGAGTTTTGCAAGTTCAGTAGGTCTCCCAACCTCCCTTGAAGTGCGAAACTACTATCAATGAGAAAAATTTTGAACTTCAGACTGCAAATGATTTATAGAACTGACTAACAGAATCCTACAACTGCGGAAAAAAAAATTCTCGAAAAGAAATGACAAGTATTCGGATTTACTCAGATGAGAGTAATCGCAGTTTGGAACATAATACCTGCAGGAGGGATTTCCTGTACCGTTTTCAGAAAAACGAATTTCGAAAAAGAAGATATTCCGAATTTCTAAGTAACGGGAAATGCAACAGGAAATTGAAATTTTCGAAAAGAAGAATATTCCGGATTTTCAACAACGAAATTTCAATTTTTCCTAGGTTGTTTTACCGCACGTCCGGGACCCCCCTGACCGTCCGGGATATCCGACCGGACGTCTGGTCGGACATCGGATCGGACAAGGGTTGTCTGACCTAGCGCAAAAATAAAAAAAAATAAGAAAAAAACATTTTATTTTTTTTTTTGAAAAAAATCATGTGGCTTCTATTTTGCATAAGGTGTATGCCACCAAAATTTTGGCTCATTTGAGCCAGTAGAAAAAAAGATAAAAATCTTCAAAGTTTCTAATCCCCACCTATACCCCTCCTATCCCCACCAAAACCCCCCCCTCCCACCCCAAATAGCACCCTATCACCAAATGCTCAGAAAATTCTGAATTTTTTTTGGGGGGGTGTCTATGGCATGCACAACACTGTCATTTTCTTTTATTTTTATTTTTTTAATGCCAAAAAGTGGTTGTTCGGGATCCCGGACAACCCCCTTACCGGACGGTTGGGGGAGACGTCCGGCCATCGGACGACTGGTAACCTAGAATTTTTCAGAAAAAACGAAAATGGAAATTTCAGATGTTGCGCTATTGCGATTTTCCACACAGAAATAGAGAGAAAATAAAATTCAAGAAAAGAAAAAAAAAATCGATTTTCGGCAGTAAGGTCAAAATCGTGATTTTGGGGGCTAACTAGTGTGCTCTAATCAATCTATCAAGACTAATCAGCTACCCACTCCCCGCACACGTGTTAGATCAGGTTGTCCTGATTCACGTGCGGTGCTCAGATACCAATTGTTACATGCCCAGTTGGGCGATGTACATAGAAACGGAGGATCTGCAATGTGATAAAAAGGACTGAATGGAGAATGTAGTGCGAGTAGATCTCAACAAGCAATGTGCATTCCGATACATACAAAATGGTGCTGAATAGTGCAGTGGAAGACTTAGATACAAGTCCTGACCTGACCGAGACTGACCTCATTCACGTAGTATAGGATAGCAAAGCAGAATGCTAGAATGCTAATGACTAGCCCGATCAATGTTTGAACGCAGACCAAACATACATCGTGTCCATCACAAAGTGTGAAGGAGCCTGGCGCTATACACAGGAAGGAAGCACCAGGTCGAGACATACACAGATGAAGAGGAGGGGGGGAGATGGGAATGTCGTCAACACCAAGTCTTTGTCACAAGTCCCAAATAATCCCTCGTTGCAATGTCTGAAGCCAAAAAGTCGAGTTTGGATCCAATGTCACCAAGCTCTCTCTCTCTTCTCTCGTAGTCTGCTGATGCACTGAAGTCAGATAATGAGAGGGTGAGAGGGAGATGGTGGACTGAGAAGAGGAAGAAGAAGAGCTCTCTCTCTCTCTCTGTTACGAGCCAGGTACTAACACGTGAAGTTGGCACTGTGCTGCAGGTAAGTACCTCTGGCCTCCGCCTCTCTCTCTCTCTCTCTCTCTCTCTCTCTCTCTCTCTCTCTCTCTCTCTCTCT